TACATGACATGCAGTTCAGGTCTCTGACCGGTATAGAAGAACTGACATTTCACATTTGCCATGAAAATCCAAATCTTGTTCTTTATGATGAGTAAGTGTAGAAGATTTCCAAACTGGTTCCAGGATGATGAAGGTGTATCTTGCCTTTCCGGTTCTAGCTGGCTTTGACATCTTCATCAGTTCTTCCTGTAGTTAAAACGATGCTTGCAGCCTAGATAAGTATAGGAAGTGACTTCTTTGAAATCTCTCCCGTTGATGTTGGTTGGTGCTGGTTGTTGATGCGGTTCGTTGGTTATCTTCATCACCTCCGTTTTCACCTTCTCTATGTTCACTTGAAGTCCTGTCTTCGCTGTCTGCCTCTTCAGCCGGTTTGTTGGTTTTCGCCTGCAAGTCTTCGAGTTTGTGTGACACTAGACATATATCATTCACACGTGAAATCCAAATCTTCTAGAGTATTATTATCGGTCGGTGCAGTTTATTCCTGTCTTCTCATTCCTCACACACAGTCTGACGCATAATCCAGTCCACCACAATTAAGAATATCAGCAGTTATAATAGACAGCCAGCCTTTTCTTACTCCTGTGTACACTTCGAACGCCTCGCTGAGTTTTCCGTTTTAAAATTACGTGCCACTTGGTATTGTTCGTTAAAGACTTTGGGTACTGCACGCCGTAGTGTTGAAGTATTTTCCAAATTACTTCTTGATCAACGCTGTCTGTCGAAGGCTGTTTCGAAATTAATGAAGTTGTTGTGGAGGTTTGATTACCATTCTGTGCTTTGTTCTATTATGACGATGCATAGAGTTGCAATTTGATCAGCACATAATTTGTCTTTCCTGAATCCAGCTTGTTCCGGGCGGAGTTCTTTATCCGATGTATCCTTTATTCCCTCCAGGATGATGCGATTTATTATTTTATTGTTTATTGGGAAATGAAAGTGTAGGTTATAGGATCTATGTACTCTGCTTAAGCAGTTGTTAATTTGGCAGTACAGCATGATAATTTAGCCCAGTTGTTTAAATTTATGATTTTTCATCCCCTGAATAGTGAGTTAACTGGAGTATGATAAAAAATACACAATGCCTAGTCATAGAGTGAACAAGGTATATATTTTGTTAACCTGGTATGCTTGACACAGAGGTATTCACTGCCCCTTATACTTATAGAAGACAAGAGACTTGATATACGAATTGACAACCAACGAATATCAGAGATTCAACGAATATGTCAACTTAGTTGCCGAGAAACGGTCACAGTCTGCCGTAACCCAGCTCCACAAATCTTGAATTTTCAAGTATTGGTTTTGTAGGGACTTTCTTTGATTGGTTGGAGGATTTCATCATGAGCTGACATCAGTTAGAGAACAATTGGAAAACCACCAAGGAGTACTGCAAGACAGCTGTTTCGTCCCGGTTTGATACTCTTCATCGGTGCGCACCCACCGCTAAAGTTCGGACCCACGACTTTCTGGTCGCAAGACCAGCGAGCTCGTGGACCATTAAGCTACTGGGACCTGATCCAATGGCCACTGCAAGGATTCTAACTTCCGCGAATTCATGACATGGCGCGACCACTTCACAGTTTCTTCTTCGGTGAGTAACTGTCCTCACCTTTAACCTGCTGTACTCTACTGGTCACGGTTTCCCAACAGAACGCCAGGTAACTGTCTGAATAGGGTAGTCTTGAATTTATGAGATACTTATTTTGAACAGTGGGGTTATATACTGGCCAACCATGCACGTGATCCCCGTTTGTTTCCCGGCCGATGGATACTTGAACCTCGCCTAGTTTACCAGCTGATAGTCAGATGGATAAAGAGAACGAAGGTTTGATGTGAGTCTTGCAACCTCATCTCTTAAAAATAAAATGACCGTTACTGAAACTTCAAAAATTCAAGCCTTATGCCCCACTCTGGATAAAATAATGAAAAAAAAAACTGGAATCGATGTCACTTTCCAGAATAATCATTCTTTGATTGGACACTTGTAACTAGTTTGATGTGTCCAGTCCTTTCTTTAGTGCAGACTGAATTCTATCAGTCAGGTTTGCAATGTGGCCACCATGGTAGGTGGCTCGCCATCATGGTGCACTGTGAATTTTTGGTGTTAAATGGTTGGAGGCAATCGGCCACAAGAAGCCTTGGACCTAGGTTTTGAGCTAACTGGCACTCATCAACAAGGCGTATCTGCAACCTTGAAGGAATTCATGTCATTTATGAGATTCGAACCCTAACACGAAACCTTGGTCAAGAACGGCTTCCTGCTGATTGCCTCTAACAATCTAATATGATCATTCTTGATTGTTATAAGGGAAAACGAAGACCGGTTCACGGAACAATTGTTTTTTCTCAACGACTTCATTTCTCAAGCAGCGTAGTAGTATTCATACTACACAAAATGGAATAAGTGGCACTAAAAATTATTCAGTCAATTTATATATGAAGGGAATAGAAAACATAATCTTTAAAAGATCGAGTTATAGTGAGTGAACTACAGAATTATTACAAAAGATCATTGGAGAAGTGAACTGGTTGGTGATAGGTGGGCACAGAATAACTAACTCTTCCATTTGTAAACACCTTGATTCCAGTCAGTTAGCATCTCATGACTTATTTTTAACGGTGTCTGCAAGGCTAAACTGCTGCGCTTGATACGTTTCCTCTTTCATCACCTGTGCATAGTTAATATAAGAATAAAACTTGGGCACTGTGGTAGAGTACAATTCCATCATGGATAAGATTTTATTTTGATAAAATCACACAGTGGTGTTATACAGTAGTATTTACTGATGACCACGTTTCGAGCACAATTTATTGCTCATGATCATATCAAGACACTCACACGAATTTCTTGCTTTATTTGTATACATGGCTAAAAGTTGATTAGACATCTGAATAAAATCAATGTAAGATAAGGTACATTCTCAATTGATATTTATGTTATCAATAAAATACAATAAGATGGAAAATAAGATGTTTTTTACAGTAAAAATAAGTAACCTGTTAGAATGTTATAATGTGAACTGAAAATATTTTAACATTATTTATTATTCATCATAAATTATTTAAATTAATCCCAGCGTGTTAAGAAAATCAAAACAAGGTTTTTTGTTGATTAATAAAGATCCGAATAAATCTGCTGAAGAAGCTGTGGCTTACACAGCGAAACGTTCAGAAAAATCTTGTTTTGATTTTCTTAACACGCTGGGATTAATTTAAATAATTTATAATGAATTAATCTGACTCGGTGCTCAAATTATTCCAGGAAGCTCGTACCACCTACGGTCTGGAAACCTATAATATTATTTATTATTCTCCTTCGATTCCACTGTCAATGATATCTTCTATATCTCTGATATTTGCGTTAAGTCACTTCTAGTGCATGTGTTGGATGTAGACTCGATGAACCAGGATTCAGTAATCAACGTCTCACTATAGCAATCTACCTATGTTACTTTTTAGAATTTTCACTGTCCCACCCACCCTAATATGTGGTTGTTTGTTAATGCATGCAGTGTGATTGCCGAGTTCTTTTCTAAATTACTTATCTTAGTGGGATCAATCACTCTAAGCTTAGCTAAATTCTTATGTTCTGATAATCTCACTACTCCTGATCTACTAGTTTGACATATGTAGTTGACCCAACTCACAGTCATTGCAACTTATTTTATAAATTATATTACTTTGTCTAATTGGGTGCACTGGGTCTTTTAGCCTACAGAGCTTGTTCTATCTGAGTGAGTTTGTAGGTTTGAATGCCACTCTAATTTCTGTTTTGTTGAGAATCCTACATAGGGTCTCAGATGTCCCCTTCTTATATGGTAGAACTGTACATGCCTTATATTCTTTCTTATTTATGTTATCATTATTAGTTTCATCACTATTTTTATTTTGCTTTTGACCTTTCCCGATCTTCCAAATGAAACTTTATAGGGTAGTTATTTAACACCAACGTCTCTTATATCTGTTTCATTTCATCATTTAGGTCTTTTTTGTATAACTTAGTACTATTGCTCGGTTTGTTAGACACTTAACCAAGCTAGCCTTTGCAGACAACGGATGAGATTAATTAAAGTCTAAATATCCATTAGATTGTGTTTTCGTCACCTATGCATAGCCAAACCACTAGCTATACATGGATGAAAACTAGACTATAAATTCAAAAACTTTCTGTTAAGCCCCTTTCTTTACTTTGATCGTAGCAATGTTCTCTTCGTTGATTTCATTCCACTTCATTTTATCTACGCTTTCATTATTGTTATTATCGTTTTAATCTTAATTGTTGACGTCATTTGATCCATTTCATACCTCTTACTATCAATTCACTTGTGTAAGTGCTGAAGAGTCCCAAACTAGGACGAAACAGCTGTCCAGTACTCCTGGGTTTTCCAATCCTTCTCTAACTAATGTCAGCTTATGATGAAATTTCACTTATTTAATTTTTTTTCCCTTTTTTTTTTCTCAGTGGAATATGGGGCTTCAAGATGGAGGCTTTTGGTAGCAGTGGTGTTTAATTTTATGGGACGAGGTTGCTAGACTCATGCCAAACTTTCCCTCTTTACCAGTCTAATTATCGGCTTAGAGTGGTAAAGGATTCCGTTGGTCAGGGATCGAATCCCGAACCACATGGGGTGTGGTTGGCAAGCATTCTACCACTGTGCCACGGACGCACAAATACGATTGTATAACTTGATAATGAAGTTGTTGAAAGGCGACATTTCTCCAATGAAGAAATCTTTGCTTTTTGTCAAGTCTTATGTCGCGTGAAAGGTGATATTCGTCACCATGCTTTCTTTACTGACAGTTGAATTCTGATTGGTTATTTATACCATTGGTTAATTTTATCACTCTTAGAACTATAATTTGATTGGTCAAACATTTTGACCAATCTGCGTTATTTGTAGACTTCAAAAATATTTGTAACAAAGTAGTACACAGAAGCATTTATATATTCAAAAGACTTAAATAGTATCCTAAACTTTACTGGAATATCTATTTTGATAATGACTAGTTCAATAGACGTTAAGCCTATGAATGTTTCTGGACGAACAATATCTTTACACTATAATGGATTTAACAGTCCTTCACAACTTTGCAGTCCTGCACCAGTTCGTTCTGGTAAAACACCAATATCACCAGATGCAGTGTCTGAATCCTGTTCACCTGTCAGTCCTGAGCATAGTGATGAAGAAAATCATCGAATAGCTAAAACTGATTTAAACTGTACTCTACGACGAAGACAAAGTAAACGTAGACCGCATTTAAGTGTTCAATCTACTAATTTTACTACGAATACTAATACAGAACACAATAAATCACAGAATTATGAAACTGCAATAGATACATCTACTAAATCAAAACAACATTCAAATTCATTTAATGCTGAATTTGTATTACGTAAAGAACCAGATCCAGGGAGTGGACGTTTACCGCGTTATATTCGAGTGGAACAGGATAAGGAAGATGAAGAATTCCTATCTCGTATGCATGCTAGACCTTTAAGTATTGCTGTAGATTCTATTTCTCAGCTTAATTTCTATACAGTTAAACTTACAGAGGATAATTGTAATACAACAACACTTCGACATTCTCCTTCAAAAAAAGTCGATAAAAATTGTGATGATAATTCTGAAAATGTTACTTCATCCAATGATGTTGATGACAGTGTATGTGATAATTCCCCTGAAAATATCATTTTCGTTAAATCACATCGAATGTGCTCTTCAGAGGTGAGCTAAACAATATTTTAAGCCAAATAGATAAAAGGATAACACATAAAAGAAATTCAGTAGCAATAATAATAATAATAATGGTGAATCAACATTGAGTTCTGTGATTAAAACAAAACCAAAATAATACTAATCGCTTAATGTGTTTTCCAATCATTCAAGTGATGCTAACACTTTCCTCTTCTACTTTTTTTACTATTCTTAATCTGTCATTACTCCCCCTGCCTGTTTTGTGTTGTTGTTATTATGAATGCTGTCAGTTGACGAGTTTCTCTAAACACTAGGCAACGGTACTCCTACGTTTTAATCATTTATTCTATGAAAAATGTAGACTATGCGTCTATTCGTGTATGTATTAATGTATGTATATGTGTGAGTATGTATGGAAGTGACGACTTTGTGAGTGGAAATCAATTATAATAGAGATTAATCATTTGTCTTTTATTGATAATTTCATATGTCACCAATTCAGCAATTAAGTTTTTTTAATGTCAGTTTCATGTTAATGTGAATGTCGGATGTCTGTGTGTGTGTGTGAGTGTGTGTATGTATGCGATGGCAATGAGGGCAAATCAAAGGCTCTTGTCATTTCAGATGGCACATACCATCGACAATAACTCAATATACATTTAATGACTGTCTTATTGTTGTTGTAATTCTTTCTTTTTGAGACGATTAACACGATACTAAGACTAAGACTACACCTCCTCATGAACGTATGACATGCAGGTTCGTGTCTACGTTGTCAAACTAATATTACCGATACATATATATATATATGTGCATTAATTATCCTCAAAACAGATCGATTACTTGTCATCGACTGGCTTTTTAGCATACTATTGTTGTGAATAAAAGCTTTGTAGTCATCAAGAAATGAAATATAAGAGTAGATTGTCTGGTTTCTCTGATGCTACTTCTGTCATTCTTTTGTATACACTAAGGAACGGTACTAACTCTTTTTTTGGTGTTTTCGTGCCTATGATTCTTTGTATGTGTGTGTTCGGGTGGCTGGGTGTTTCGACATCAAAAACCATCGTTGGCTATCCAATCTTGGTCATCAGTCTAGTTTATCAATATTGTATAAAACTGATGCACTGCCCTTCCACATTAACATTGTTAAAGCGTATATTGGTGTTCATAACTTCTGATGCGATGGTGATTCCATTCTATATACTGTTAATGGCTGCTCTTAATAATGTTATCATTTCTTCTTAATTATCGTTAGTAAATTTATCAGTCATTTGGTGAATTCAGTAATTATTATTTTTATTATTATTACTTATTATCGTTACATCCGTGTGCTTATGTTCTTGTTAACCTTTCTAACTTATCCATACACATCACCATATATCTAGAAGAGTATTCAGTTGATGAGTTGTCCTACCAAAGTTTGTGACAATTATTACCTGTTTTAAATCAGTATTGTTTTCAAGTGTTTTTGAATTTCTTTGTGTTCTCTTTTTTCTGCCTCTCTGTGAGATTTTATTTTGATCCTTCTTTATTTGTGGTTTGACTGTTATTTTGTGTGTGTGTGTGCATGTGTGTGTTAAATTTGTGTATATTTGATGATGATGGAGATGCAGATTTGTCAGTGAGGAACTGTCAGTACCATAAAAACTGTTTTGTTAACAGTCTTGACATTTTTTATTTTTATCATAATGTCTTCCAATTAGATGGATTATATGTGTGTCATTATTTCGTGGAAAAGTAGAGGTTTATAGATCTTACTCGAATGTATATCAAAAATAGGTCAGAAGATTTGTAGCTAAGACTGAGTGAGGATGGGTATAATAATCTCATATCCTCCAAGCTCATCTGATTCGAAACCCAGTGGGTGCGCACTGCCGATGAGTCTAAAAATAGGGTGAAACAGCTGTCCAGTACTCCCTTCTCTAACTGATATCAATCCGTGGTCTAATCTGAAATGTTATCAACACATATATATATATATATATCACTCAGAAATAACCATTGCCAACCTGTCAGTTCTTAAAGATAAATTGACATTTATCGATGTCAATCAGTGTAGCTTTCATTAACTGTGCATTGAACTACTGACAGTGGCAAATATAAATACGAAGACAGAGAAAAGGAAGAGGTGTTTTGCGCTTTAATCGATTGAAAACTGTGTCTTGGTTGAAAGTTGTCTTCTTCAAGTTAGAAAAAAAAAGAAGTTTGAAAAGTTTAGAAAGTTGATGTTGCTGAAAAGTTCCCCTCCTATTTAAAACTCACTGTATTACAGTTATTTATTTTCTAAATGACGCATTACTAGTTTATTTTTGATATTTTAGAGAGATGTCACCTTGAACTTATGCATTCTGCAACTTAATGCATGGTTTCATGTGCAGCTACTTGAGAGGGTGTTTGAATATATAAAGTGTATATCTCATTAAATCTCTATTAACTGGAGATATCATGGGCTTAATTGGATGTATTGTAGGGTTTAAATATTGTTGTAAAGGGTGGTTGAAGACGATTCACAAGAGGCCTTTAACCCTAAGTTCCATACTTGTTCGGCAATCATATCAACAAAGTATATCTGCAACCTTGAAAGAGCTGATGTCCCCTCTGAGATTCGAAACCAGCTCAGTCAATGCTGCAGTCAGAGACACTACCACTGAGCTATTCAGCTGGATGATTGACCTTTTGTAGAACTGTAATGGAGACACTGATTGGTTGCTTGAGAGAGTAGCCGATATCATGATGTTTCTAGTCCTCTGTGATTGAATTTTACCTGTCAAGTTTTAAGAATTTGAATATTTTCGTTTTCTAGAACGAAATGTTAAGGTTAATACTTCTAATTCTGAGGAAATTTTTGCTGAGTGTACCCTTTCTCCAATACTTTTCTCTATAAAAAAAAAAAACAAACTAGTTAACAGATATTTCAATATTATTAGGGATTATGAAGACAAGAAGTATAGAGCCAGTAGCGGATTCTGAGCAGTTAACTGTTTTCGTTGACAGTCAGTACTTGAACTCAGTAGTAATGTTTCTTACAATTTGAAACTTAATTATTTCAGTATACCTAAAGCTTAGACAGTGTGTATTTCCAAGAGGTTTTGAACTTAACTGTTACTTTCCACAAAACACATCCGGTAAAGTGAACTAAATTGATGGTAAGTCGACAGTGTTACATCTTGTTCATTGAATTTTCATGTTACACTTATAGACTGAAGTGATTATTGACTTCTGAAGGCCTTGATGAGTAATGCGTTTCTTATTAATGTTTTATTCTTGAATAACAGCAAAAGTATTGAGCACACATCATGGGTTACTTGAAATTATACTCTTACACAAGATCAGGTAGCCAAAGTTGATGAATTTATTTTCGTTAATCCTAGATGATGAGCATAGTCGGAATAAACTCTGGTGTACAGTGTAATTCATAACATTAGCCTCTGTTGTATAGAACAAGTCATCTCTTGACTGAGTAACAAGATTCCACTCATGAACAGGTGTTAATTGTACTTTCACTAACAAAATTCTCACTGGACATCTGTTTCATCAGCCTAGTTTGGGACTCTTCATCAGTGTGCACCCACCGCCAGTTTTCGAACCCAGAAACATCTGGTTACAAGGCTAGCTGGCTCATAAACCAGTAAGCCACTGGGACCCTATCCATTGGCCCATGAATTTCAGGTTTTCCAATGGTTCTCTAACCAAGGTCAGCTCATGACGAAGTCCTGTAACCAACCAATCAAATCCCTACAAATCATTACTTGAAAATTTTTACTATTGCTTAAAATGAATCACAGCAATTTATAGTTAGACAGTTCACCTCTTATTCTTGTAATCTCACTCCAGAAAATTAGGTGACTATAACTAAAAGGATATGACACCTGAATTTTGGTTTTTATAAAAAATTAACCTACCCTCAGTTTCAACGTGAGTAGTTTAACTGTTATGAATGCAGTTTTTACAAGGTTTTGATGATTATAAGAGCAGTTTATCAATTTTGAACAAGATGAACAACGTTCCTTTAATCACAAGATATCATCTTAATAAATCTATTGATATCTATATATGTGCTACATGTATAGAATATTGAGAGCGAAGTGGCATAAATTCATTCATCAATGTTTGTTTACATGCATTATTCTTTATTTATGTAAATTTTGAGGTTAATGTATCCTTTGACTAAGAAATTCCAATAAACAGGTCGCCTGCAAACAGTAGGAAAGAAGATTACGAAAAATAAACCAAAAATAAAAACACGAAAAGTTTGTTGTCAAGTTTAATTATGTCCGGAAGTATGATTCTGTTTATTAAGTTACCAAGAGCCTTAGTTTCCGAACCTTTGGGAATGAATATTATTTATTGCTTCTAATAATATAAAACTGTATGATACATATATATGTATATATACATTTTCTTACCTTTGAAGTGTTTTGATTAATCATAAAGGCTTGTGAGAATGCCTCACTTCACTGTGTATCCCCATTCCTCATGAAATACGCTACACTGTAAAGGTTATCATTAAGATTATGCCCTTGATTTTTCTAGCGTAGTAAGCAAAAATGACATTTAGAAAACAACAAAGGAAGGGCATTGAGAAATATTTGTCGGGATCCAGTTGAAAGTAAACGTTTCTTCTTGCATGACTTTGTCTTTTATTGTGTGTGAATTAAATAGGTCATGGAAATCTAGTATGTTTGAAGATCTCCATTTTTATTATGGCGAATATTTACTAATTTTTTTTAAGGATTCTAATTGTATTCCAGAGAACTAAAGGATATTAGATGGTTGGAGGCAATTGGTAGAAAGCCTTGGACCTAGGTTTCGTGCTAGTTGGCACTCGTGATGGCGAGCTACCTAGAATGGTGGCCACATTACAACCTGATTGATAGAATTCAGTCTGCACCAAAGAGAGAACTAGACGCATCACACTAGTTACTAGTGTCAAATCAAAGGAACTAAAGGATATTGGAGAGATCACAGACACATAGGTCTACTACATCAGCTTAATGTTTGTCTTCCTTAATACGAAGTATGAGACTCGGGGTCTA